ACTGGCACGTGGCTTAGTGGGTAAAGCCTCCACCTGCAGTGCTGGCATCCCACTGGTTCGAGTTCTGGCTGCTCCACTTCCGATCCAACTCTGTGCTATGGCTTGGGAAAGCAGTAGAAGATGGCCCAAGTAATGGGCCCCTGCATCTGCATGGGAAACCCGGAAGAAGCTCCTGGCTCTGCATCAGCCCAGCTCTGGTGTTGCGGCCATTTGGGGAGTGAACCAGCGGGAAGATCTCACTCTCTCTCTCTCTGCCTCTCTGTAACTCTGCCTTTCAAATAATACATAAGTAAATATTAAAAAAACATTCAGCCCCTTTGCTATTCACACAGTCCTTCCTGACAGGCTGGCTCTGGCTTCACTGTCCTAGGTAGCTGAAGGCATACAGCTTCACGGCACAGAGAATCTGCCTACACAAAGAGGCACCATTCTTATCTGGACTGAAACATGTAAGATCTTCTCTTGAGTTACTTGAAGTAACATATTAAAATAGATCTTTTCTATGTAATTGGATTAAAAAAAATTTCATCTCTGAAAAACTGATACGAATACAAGCTTCAGTAATACACCTGGAAAAGGAGGTAGTTCTAGTCAGACAAGAATATTCTGTTGCTAATTTCATTCTAATTACAGTAAGCATGTACCGCTAAAAATCAGCATGGGTTTTGTGCTTGGCTTCTACTGCCACCTGGTGGTGTTCTATGTATACTAACCTCTGCCCTGTTGAGGAATTCCTGGAATTCTATCATTGAATCTTTGTCAATCACTGTCACTGACAAGTCAATCCTTCCTTAAAGCGCTCTAAAATGGTGCTGCTGAAGATGTTAAATAAGACCTCTGTTGATTAAATTAAGACAAGCTACATCTTCCTGATAACATTTATATGTGAATACATTTAGCATGATGATTAGTAAATTCATAATGAAAAAATATGTAAGAAAAAATAACTTAGGGCCAATTAAACCCCCAAATCAGAAACAAAATGAAAGACAAAGCCAGTGCCGTGGCTCAATAGGCTAATCCTCCGCCTTGCGGCACCGGCACACTGGGTTCTAGTCCCGGTCGGGGCACCGGATTCTGTCCCAGGTGCCCCTCTTCCAGGCCAGCTCTCTGCTGTGGCCAGGGAGTGCAGTGGAGGATGGCCCAAGTGCTTGGGCCCTGCACCCGCATGGGAGACCAGGAGAAGCACCTGGCTCCTGGCTTCGGATCAGTGCAGCGCGCCGGCCGCGGCAGCCATTGGAGGGTGAACCAATGGCAAAAGGAAGACCTTTCTCTGTCTCTCTCACTGTCCACTCTGCCTGTCAAAAATTAAAAAAAAAAAAAAAAAAGAAAGACAAGACCTCTCTAAACATATATCTGGCTGGCTTTTAGAAAAATTCACTGCATAAAGATCAGAAAAACAGAGACCAATATTATGTCACAGTGGGTAAAGCCACCACAAGCGACACATCCCATATGGGTGCCGGTTCATGTCCCAGCTACTCCACTTCCAATCCAGCTCCCTGCTAATGGCCTAGGAAAAGCAGTGGAAGATGGTCCAAGGGTTTAGGCTTCTGCCACCTACGTGGGAGACCCAGAAGAAGATCCTGGCTTCTGGCTGGCCTAGGACTGACAGTTACAACCATCTGGGGAGTGAACCAGTGGATGGAAGACCTCTCTCTCTCTGTAACTCTGACTTTCAAAATAAATAAATTTTTTTTTATCTTTTATTTAATGAATATAAATTTCCAAAGTACGACTCATGGGTTACAATGGCTTCCCCCGCCCCCATACCGTCCCTCCCACCCACAATCCTCCCCTTTCCCACTCCCTCTCCCCTTCCATTCACATCAAGATTCATTTTCGATTATCTTAATATACAGAAGATCAGCTTAGTATACCTTAAGTAAGGATTTCAACAGTTTGCTCCCACACAGAAACATAAAGTGAAAAATAATAGATGATTTTTTTTAAATGATGATGAAATCAGATCAGACCTATTGTCATGTTTAATCCCAGTGAGAGTCAAGTTGGGAATTGATAATTTCTTTTTTTTTTTTTTTTCAAAATAAATAAATATTTTTTAAAAGATCAGAAAAACAAATTGGAAAACTAGGAGTTAAAAACTATTACTACGGGACCGGCGCCGTGGCTCACTTGGTTAATCCTCCGCCTGCAGCGCCAGCATCCCTTATGGGCGCCAGGTTCTAGTCCCGGTTGCTCCGCTTCTAGTCCAGCTCTCTGCTGTGGCCCGGGAGGGTAGTAGAGGATGGCCCAAGTGCTTGTGCCCCTGCACCCACATAGGAGACCAGGAGAAGCACCTGGCTCCTGGCTTTGACTGGCGTAGTGCCAGCCGTAGCGGCCATTTGGGGGGTGAACCAAGCAAAGGAAGACCTTTCTCTCTGTCTCTCTCTCTCACTGTCTATGATTCTACCTGTCAAATTAAAAAAAATTTTTTTTAAATCTATTACTACAAAGGCATAAACTACAAAATAGTTTTTATAGAATACCTCAGTATGTTTCATAATCCATGTTTCTCTTGTGTGAAATGTCTCTACTGATTTGTTCATATGGATAAACATGAATTTTTTAACTACTGTATTTGCTATAATTATAACAATTTTATTATAATAAACTGGCCAATTAATATAGGGATTTTCTCTTAGACTATTGGTTTAGACACAGAGACATTTACAATTAACAAAGCAAGGGGCCGGCACTGTGGTGTAGCAAGTAAAGCCACTGCCTGCAGTGCTGGCATCCCATATGGCGCTGGTTCAAGTCCTGGCTGTTTCACTTCTGATCCAGCTCTCTGCAATGGCCTGGGAAAGCAGTAGAAGATGGCCCAAGCCCTTGAGCCCCTGTACCTGTGTGGGAGACCCCGAAGAAGTTCCTGGCCCCTGGCTTCAGATCAGCCCAGCTCACGCCGTTGTGGCCATTTGGGGAGTGAACCAGTGGATAGAAGACCTCTCCCTCTCTCTGCCTCTCCTTCTCTCTGTGTAACTCTGACTTTCAAATAAATAAATAAATCTTAAAAAAAGCAAGACTATAATTTTTTTTATTTTCCATCCACATATTTACTTAATTTAATACTGACTGCTTGAAGGTAATACTTCTTTGTGGTTCAAAAGGTGGGAAAAATCTCTATTAACCCATCACTGATTGTTGCTAATTTTTTGCCATTTCTAGGAATGGAAATTTGTTTTTGTTTAGTAAGTCTTCTCTATAATTAAACAAATATTTTTATCTAGCCTTTCTATCATTTATTTTAACTTTTAAAAACTATATAAGTCTTATTTTGCTCATTTATAACATGAAATAAATGATTTTTCTTTCCAAATAGCTACTCTTGCCAGCAACATGTGTTGGACAGCCCTTCCTCCTGGTTTCTTGGGCCACTGACTTTAAGACTTTTTAATCCCAGCATATTAAGGGCTGATTCTGAGTTAGATCTTCCATTCCATTGATATGAGATTCCTGAGCCATCACGAGGCTAATCTAATTATCTTCTGAAATTCAGAGTATGTTTTAATATTTAATATTAGAACATGTTTAATATTTAGTAGTCAGAAAGGAGTTAAGTCTTCCCTCATTACTCTTTTTCTAAATTATTCTGACAATTCTCCTCTATTTATTCCAAATGAACTTCAGAATAATTTTGTCAGGTTCCCAAAGAACTGAACCAAGTTACTCTAATAAAGAGATTTTGTGCGAACTGCTCTATATTATAAGCTACATTGGAAAGAATTGCTACCTTTACACATAGCGTGTTAGTAGAAGAAAGCAGGATTAGTTATAAGCCCTTCTTATGCTCTTAAGCTGGATAGTTTTTCAAGGAACACATTCAAAAGATGCTTTATGCCTGCAATATGGAAAGATATGCAGACAAATACTAATTCAGAACAAATAAAAATACTTGATAAAATACTTCAGAATACTGTTCTAAATGCATGGCTGAGTCACTTGAAAAGTAAGGCAAGCTCTCAGAGGCCATAGACAAAGCGAACAGGAATCCCCTGGAGCTGGCACGTGCCTGGGACATTTGTCCTGGTGGCTCAGAGCTCAGGCTTCACAGGACCACTTGGGAGTCGGGAGCTGAGACGAAGGCTGGAACAAGGGACACAGACTCGTGGCTCATGCATTAAGCTGTATCCCCTCAAAGGCAGCATCCTCAGGAAGGGAACAGGGTGGGGGTGGCCACTGCTCCACACAGGAGAGCAACAGGACTAATTAGCCACACACTAAAATAAGGGTAAAATGGGGGAAACGGAAAATTACTAGCACCAGCACACCTTTGTGTATGATGGGTTAAGAATTCAAATTATCATTTTAAAAAAATGACACTTCTCCAGTAGAACCCCAGCAGACCCAGTGAAAACAAATATAAATTCTTTGCACAACACCATATGCAAGCAGTGACCACAGATTAATGGCCAACAATACAGTTGGGAAAAAATCTCACAAATTTGAGAGAAAACAGTCAACAAGTGAGGGTCAGTGAAACTCTGCCACTTTTTGGCCTATTAGATAGAGTATCAGATGAGTGTATTCAGGATGCTGCAAAAAATATCACATCTTTGAAAAAGAACCGAAAAGAATGCCTAGAAAAATATGTAAGATAATTGGCATGAGAAACTCAGTTTTGGCTCAAAAGAGAGTTAGTCAACTGGCAGATAGACAGAGCTGACAATGACAGAGACTACGGCTCAGATTCAAGAACGCCCACGAATCTGTGAGAGCCAGGATAAATCTTAAAATCCACATCTATTGATACTGTAATAAAATCCAGTTGTTCCAGGTAAAAGAGAAGAAAGACACAGCAGAACACTTGGCAACGAATAATCACCAGACTGACATCAGACATTTCCCACTAAATAGAAAGCACAGAACAAAATAACAGCATCAAGTATTGAGAAAAAATGCCATCAATCATACCTGTGTCCCCAACAAAACCACTTTCAAACAGGAGAGTGAAACACCCTCACCGAATGAGCCTCTAGGAAAGTACCCTCCAGGGCTACCTTGCACACAAGTCACGCAGGGGCCTTGTTGGACTACAGATTGCAACTCCTTCTGCCTGAGCGGGCTGAGGTTCCACACTTCTAAAGAGCTTCCACATGATGTGACGCGAGGGCCCCAGGATTGCAGTTGGAGCAGACGGGTCCTCCAAAGCTCTGAGTCAGCGGCAAACAACTCCCTTGTACGGATAATCTGAGATGATCAAAGAAATAACTTGTAAGAAAAGTCATTTAATGATTAAATAAAGCAATATGATTAAAGTCCCATTTGTGAGTTTAAAAATGCATGGAAATAGAATTAAAACACTGGACAACAGCACCACATGCAGCAATGGAGGACTAGAGTTCTAAAGCCCATTTTTTGTTCAAAAAGAGAATAGGTATGTTTTCTCTGTGTTTACATTTACTATTTTATATATCTAGTCTTTGTTAAATTAGATATGCAGGTTAAGAATTTGAGGAAAATCTCTCAAAGACAATAAACTGGGTATATAGCTTCCATAGTATGGCAGGAGAAAACATTAAATGAAAACAATTTTCAACAGATCCAAAAGAAAACCAAAACATAAAAAATGAAAAAGAAGGGGCCAGTGTTGTGTCATGGTTAGTAAAGCTGTCACCTATGAATCCAGCACCCCATATGGACACCAATTCATGTCCCGGCTGCTCCACTTCCCATCCAGTTCCCTGCTAATGCACCTGGGAAAGCAGCAGGGGATGGCCCAAGTCCTTAGGCCCCTGCCACCCATGTAGGAGACCTAGAAGAAGCTCCTGGCCACTGTGGCCATGTGGGGAGTGAACCAGAAGATGGAAGATCTCTGTCTCTTCCCCCCTCTCTGTAACTGAGTTTCAAATAAACAAATAAATCTTAAAAAAAAGAAAAGAAAAGAAAAGGAAAAGGAAAAAAGGAACATAGAAAAAAGAAATGACTAGGAAACAAAAACTAAAATGGTTAAACTAATACAAAGGAATCTTTATACTCAATGTAAGTGACTAAATGCTCCAGTTGAAAAAGGAAGATTACCAGAATAAACTGTTCTAAAACCTAGGCTTACTATTTATATGACTGCTCCAGGACCTCACCACCTCCATGGACTGGCAGCCCTAACTTCAGAACTCCATTGTCCTCACTTTCTTTATTTTTAAGATTTATTTATTTGAAAGTCAGAGTTGAACAGAGAGAGGAGAGGGAGAGAGAGAGGGAGAGGGAGAGAGAGAAAGAGAGAGAGAGAGAGAGGTCTTCCATCTACTGGTTCACTTCCCAAATGGCCACAATGATCAGAGGTGAGCCAATCTGAAGCCAGGAGCTAAGAGCTTCTTCTGGGTCTCCCACAAAGGTGACGGGGCTCAAGGACTTGCTTTCCCAGGCTATCATAGAGAGCTGGATCAGAAGTGGCCAAGTCTCGAACTGGCTGCATCCTGCCTCTGTGGGATCAGGACTTTGCCCCTGTAAGTCATGGAAACACCCGCACTTGCCCTGAGGAACCTGAGAAGGCTTTGTCTCCATCCCACCACTGCAGGCTCATGGCTGCCCATGCACAATTCCCAATATAACCTACGCTTTTCCCATAGGACCTGGCCAGGTATCCTTCCTGCCCTGCAGCTCAGGGATTGCGACTATTAGTACTATATTCCTCAGGGTCACTGAATCCACCTGTGGGACCGAGGGATGATCCTATCTGCATTCCAAGCTCAAGTCCTCCCTGCCACTGCACAATCCCCAACATAACCGATATTCACCCTGTGGAACCTGGGCAAGGTCCTCTTCCCATTCTCCAGTGCCAAGATTGGGGCTTTTGGTGCTATAAGCCCAGCATCACCCACGCCTACACAGAAGGACCTGGGGAAGGCACCATCCACATCACACAGTCCCAGGACTCTAAGTAATTGGTTCCACAAGCCCCAGCATCATTCAAGTTTTCCTGCAGAACAAGGGGACAGCCCCATCTGTGTTAACACAAAACCAGGAATGCAGCTACAGTAACCACAAACCTTAGTGTGACTGACAACCAACTCTCTGGTAACTGAAGATACACCTATGGAAGCCCACATCCACTTCAAAGTCACACTACTATCCCCGTGAACTGCTGCAAACTAGACAACCATGCCACTCACAGACATGGCTGGCATCAACCACAGCTGAAGAAATCACTCAGACCTTAACTCTGGCCTCACCTAGACACAAAGCCAAAGCAACTAATCTACTGATACCCCCACATTCCACCTAAACAAAACAGCCTTTTCCAGCAAAAGCTGCTCCATAAAGATGGAACTGTTACACCATATGTACAGACATCAATGAAAGGACACGGGAAACATGAAGAAGCAAGGAAGCATCATGCCTTCAAAAGATCACAATAGTTCTCCAGAAATGGATCTTAACTTGAGCAAAATCAACAAAAGTCTGCCTGAAAAGGAATTTAAAATAATGATCCTAAGGAAACTCAATGAGATTAAAGAGAAAACACACAATTCAAATACATTAGAAAAGCAATGCATGATATGAATAAGAAATTCAACAAAAAGAAATGATTTTAAAAAACAGAAATTTTAGAGCTGAAAACTTTAATCAATGCTTCAATAACAGACTGACCAGGTGGAAGAAAGACTTTCTGATCATGAGGAAAAGACTTTTGAAATAAGCCAGGCAGAGAGAAATAAAGAGGAAAAAAAAACTTTAAAAGACTAAAGAAACCCTGTGAGACATATGGGATACTATTATGTGAACAAATAGTCATTATAGGGACACCTGAAAGAGGAGGAAAAATGTACTGAGAGTCTATTTAATGAAATAATAACTGAAAACTTCCCAAGTCTTGATAGACAAAGGACCCAGCCAGACTTGCCAAACAAGACCTTCTCTAAGACAGGTTACAGTCAGACTGTCAAAAGGCAGGAACAGGGGAGAATGGCAAAGACTGAGAGAAAAATGTCAAGTTACATATAAAAGAAGACACACAGGAGATGCATAATACACAGCTGTAGCTGTAACACATAGCTGCAAGACCTATGAGACTAACAGCAGGCTTCTCTGCAGAAAGCACACAGGCCAGGAGAGAATAGAATGACAGATTAAAGGCATTGAAAGAGAAAATTTCCAACCAAAAATACTATACCTAGCAAAGCTATCATTTAGAAGTAAAGGAGAAATAAAATATTTCCCAGATAGCAAAAACATAGGAATCATAACCACCAGAGCAGCCCTATAAGAGATCCTGAAGGTAGTCCTGCATTAGAAGTAAAGGATCTCTCTCCTCTTCTTTCTCTGTAACTCTGCCTTTCAAATAATAAATAAATAAGTCTTTAACAACAACAACAAAAAACCAAAACCCAAATACATTTGCCTACAAGAAAGTCATTCATGGGTAAACTGTACCTACCTAGACTGGAAGTAAAGGATTTGACAAAGATATATCTGCAAATGGAAACCAAAACGGGGAAGGAACAGCTACACTCACGTAAGATAACAGACTTTATATTAAAAAAAGTTTTAAAAATACAAATAAAGATGGGTGCTGGTTTGAGTCCCAGCTGCTCCACTTCTGATCCAGCTCCCTACTAACACACCTGGAAAGCAGCAAGGGATGACCCAAGTGCTTGGGCCCCTGTACTCATGTGGTAGACCCAGAAGAAACTCCTGACTCTTGACTTCAGCCTAGCCCAACTCTGGCCATTGCTGTCATTTGGGGAGTGAACCAGCAGATGAAAGATCTCTCTCTGTCTCTGTCTCCAACTCTCTCAATAACTCTGCCTTTCAAATAAATAAATAAATCTTTTTAAAAATCATAAAAATGTATGTACCCAAGACCACCTAAATATATAAAGCAAGTATTATCTGTCGCTCCCCCTCTTCGTGGAGGAACGACACAGGACCCTGCGCTGTTCTTTCGTCTGCTCGGCCCTCCCCGGGTTTGCTGCTGGTTCTTCCCGGGTTGGCTACTGTCCCTTCCACCTCCGTGGAAGGGCAGTTCCCCCTGGCCACATTCCCCACTTCCGCAGGGGAGCGGCACACCGCCGGCCGGCTTTCTCGGGGGCTGCACAGGTGTTCCTCTTAGATGTTCCCCATAGATGTTCCTGGTGCATGCCGTTTCTCTCCTCCTTTATAGTCCTCCTCCGCCAATCCCAACTCGGCTGCCCACACGCCGAGTACGCTGCTCTCCTCCAATCAGGAGCAAGTCCTACAGTTTATTAGTTGAACTCGAGGCAGCTGTGCGGAAGCTGTTTACTTCTCTCCCATCGCCATATTGTGGGAGAGCAGATGCATAGAATAAGTCTTAATTCCAGTAACTTAGTCTAGTCCGGTTTGCTCCCCACAGATCCCCCTTTCTTTTTATTTTTTAGCGTTGATACGCGCCTGTCTTCGGTGTCCCGCGGCACACACTCTGCTCTACTTGCTAGAGTTGCCACAGGCTCTTACAAGTCCTATCAATCAGGCAAACCAAATCCGGGTCCTCTCTTCGCCATGTTGTGAGGAGGTTTTTAGGCGCTGATACGTGCCTGTGTTCGGTGCCCTGCAGCGCATGCTCTGCTCTGCCTGCAGGGGCTTACAAAACCTAGCAATCAGGCAAACCGAATCCAAGCCTTCTCATTGCCGTATTGTGGGGGAGACTTATTAGTGTTGGTTTGTGCCTATCTTCGGTGACCTGCAGCTCATGCTTTGGTCGAGCTGCTTGCTGGTGCTTACCGCCTTAAATCAGGCAGACCGAATCCAAGCTCTCACATTGCTGTTGTGGGGAGGCCTTATTGATGTTAATTCATGCCTGTCTTCGGTGACCTGCGGCGCATAAGCTGCTAGCTGCCCGCAGGTGCTCATCGCCTCACTTATCGGGCAGACCGAATCCAAGCTTTCTAATTGCCATGATGAGGGGAGGCCTTTCTATTTCTCTATTTCTCTATCTCCGGGCATTCCTATTTCTCCCATTTTACTTCTATCTTCCAGCATTCCTATTTCTCTCACTTTACTTCTAAACTTCTGTTTCTCTTATCCCCGCAGCTTCCCGGCGGCGCCCGCCCCGAGGCTGCTTCACGGCTCCGCGCAGCTTCCCGGCTTTGCGCGGCTTGGCTTCGCGCGCTCCGCGGTCTCCACGCCCTTCGCGTCTGCACCACGGCCTCGCGCCAGCCCCGTTCCCTATCTATTCACGCCCCGTGCTCTCTCTGCACGCGGCGGCTTCCGCAAGTAACACAGCGTAGCTT